TTTAAAAACATAACATAAACTGAAATGATAGTCAGTGCTCGAATTGAGGGGGGCTGGGGGGATCCAAGTAAAAGTAAAAAAAAAAATAGACTTAGGGCGGTCCCCCCAGATATTTTATATTAGTATGGACAACAAAGACAAATCTGAAAAAACTGTTAGGATAGTAAATGAGATTAAAGGGACGGAGTCCGGGGAGTGAACTTCTGGTCTGCAGACTGCAGCCAATAAATGCTTATCGGTGCGCCTCAGATCGTGAAAGCAGACTGCAGTTTTGTCATTCATTATAACAAACAAAGTGTAGAGAAGATGTAATAATAGATTCAGTGTGCAGTGTAGGGAGCCTCATTAATTAAAATGGAAGTTTGTGAGATCGCAATGAACTAAGAGGAGTGACAGCTTTTTAAAGAGAGTTTGCAAATGTGAAATTGAATTTACCTACAACAGTTTTATACATTTTGGATTTTATACAAAAGTTAACATAAGGACTTACATTTCAGGAACACTGTTGTTTGATTGTGCTCTATTTCTTAAACGAAAAGTTCAAACAAAGTTACAGCTGATCCGCTGTGCATCTCCAAGCAAACACACAGCTGTTTCGTTTTTGAATGACAATGAACCTGCGTTTTTGAACAAATCTAGTGAGTCAATGATTTATTCACCCATTCATAAAGAGAGTCACTTGCTTCATTCCTGAATGAATCAGCCATTTGAACTAATCGATTAAATAAATGATTCAGTGACAAGGCAGTGACATGCTGCCACCTACTGGCGGTTTCAGTTTCATTTTTAAAGTATAAATTGAGTCATTTAAATCGTTTAATATTTATATATTCAAAACTTTATATTTTAAACTTTAATCTCATAACATCGTCATTATGAAATGCATTAATGCCACCTCTGAGTCTTGTCAAAAAGTCTGTAAATATTCCTTAAAGGTGGAAAAAGTTCTGAAATTATTTATCTTGGTAATACTTTCCGTACCCACTGTATATATATAAATGATGAAGCACGTCATAATCACAAAATTAGTCAGCTTTTTATATAAAAGAAGTTCACAATGTAGCCTAATAAGCCTAATTTTCTTATTTTACGTAAAACTGTTATTTCGTTTTGTGCTCAAATTTATTATATTGTAAACATTGTTTTAAATTATGTGTTGGTATTACCTTATGAACTGTGATTACATTATAATTTGTCACAGTGTGTTCATAATGTAATAAATTTCTCATACAATAACATTACATTATGTGAAAAATTGTTATTACATTGAAAAATTATTATTGCATTATGAGCTCAAGATTTTATTACATTTTGAGAATTATTACGATGAACATTTTATTACAATAATAATGTAATATTACATTATGTGCAGTTTTTACATTATGTGCTGTTATTACATTATGAGTTGCTACAATATCTTATTTTATTTTTCAAGTAACTGTATCTTTATTTATGATAGGAAGATAGGAATGGAAAACAAGAAAAAAAATATATATATTTTTTTTGCAGTGAAATAAATGCTGTCCTTTTTAATTTTCTTTTTCAAGAATACTGAAAAAAAAGCATTCCACTAAAATATTCTGCAGCACAACTGTTTTCAACATTCATAATCATAAGAAATGTTTCTTGAGTGGCAAATCAGTACATTCGAATGATTTTTAAAGGATCATGTGACACTAAAGACTGTGTGGCTGCTTTGCCATCACAGAAATAAATTATATATTTTAAATACATTAAAATAGTAAACACTTATTTGAATATTTTACTGTATTTTTGATCAAATAAATGCAGCTTGTTGAGCATAAAATACTTTTAAAAACATTTTTAAAAAATCCTTAAAACCCTTAAATTTGTGAATGGAACAGTATTTCAATGCTTATCGTTTTTGTTGTTGTTGTTAATCACTTTTACTTATAACGATTAGTGTTTATTTTTCTTATGACTTGAGCTAAATAAGAAATATTATGTTACCATATTTGTCAGAATTTATTGCTTCTTTGTAACAATCCTGACTAATCATTCTGGTCCTATATTGACACCTAGAGGCATGGAGGCAGCCTCAAAAAGTAGTTTTTATTACAGATGCATTATAGAAACATTGTTTGCCTCAGTAATGCATTCTGTGATAAATAACTGGGGCGTTAATGAAATAAAGTGTTACGTTTTGAGAAAATTATTACATTATGAACATTTTATTACAATAATGATGTAATACTTATTACATTATGTGCAGTTTTTACGTTATGTGCAGCTATTACATTATGAGTTGCTACATGTGTCTATGTAGATGAGCAAATAAATCTGCATCTTAGTAAGTGGTGTGTGGCGTTAACCTAACGTTGGTCGGCATGTGGCGTTAACTTATCGCCTAACAGCGCTTATTTAATGCCTGGCGGCGTTATGAAAACGGCGTTTTAATATTGATACGGCGGTGAAAAGCACGCGAATTCTGAACCATTTGGCTTTCGATACTCCGGAGTAGGTTATTTTCAGAGAGCAAGTTACTGTGGTTACTTACATACCCTGAAAGTAACCTCCGATTTTGGAACCAAAAGCTGAGGTTATCCGCTTGCTTATCCTCAAACATGCCCGGGTATGTCACATAACCTGATTTTTGGAATACTTATAAATATTTAAATACGTTGTGCTCACTAGATTAATGTGATTAATAAAATGTGTAAGAATCATCAACGTTTGTTGGTCACAGAGCTTATTTTCTGCAATAATCCAAAAGCCAATAGAAACATCCTATTGGGTTTTGTAGAGGGAACAAGCGTGATGCTAACCTCTGGGTTGGCCTAAAAAATGTTATCACTGCAGCAGAGCAAAAGTCTGAATAAAAAGAGAACTGTACTGGGTCTTTGTTTTTTAGTTTAATAATATAAACGGATGATTATTTTTCTAAATGCTATTTTAAATATTGTAAGAAAATATCTTTCATTTTACACGATTTCATCCCCCCTCCCCTACCGTGTTGCCTTTTATTTTATCTAGAGAGTGTTTTCCATTACTATCAGACAGGAATAATTCTCCAGCTGTTTTACTGTGGCAGACATCAGCAGAACCTGCTGAGTGAGCATTTGCTCAGGTATGCATACAGTTGAGCAGGCTGTTGCAAAACAAGCAGTGTTGAAGGTGCACTTAAAGTGCCTAATTTGGAGTAGATGCATGCATACAAACCATTACCTCAAAACCACCCAGCAAAAATATGTCCCTCAATTCAATGGCCACAACACGGATAATGCCATGTAAACATAGCGATTTGTTTTTCTGGGGTCTTCTTGTGTGTGTTTTTTTCTTATTCTTTTTTAGTGCTTTATAGCTTTCTAAAAAGCATATGTGAAAGCTAAAAATGTTCTTAACCTTTAATCGTCCCTTGATTAGAGCGACGTTAAAGTCCCTTGGGGTCAGATAGACCCCAAACTTTTACAGAGCGATTGCATAAGGAAATATAAATTTTTTTATATGACAAACTATATATCATTTATTTTTATTTACTTCTCAGCTATACATTTATGCTGTGTTTTTGTGGATATTTGGTTTTTTTTTTTTACCTATTTACTGCACAAATACTCAACTATGCCATAAATTGGCTTATGAAAAATTATTTTTTTATGAAAAAATCCCTTAAATTATGACCTAAATTAAATATAAAATGTTTCTGGATATTGGCCCATGTGTTAGGGATAGAATACTGCCATCTGCAGGTTAGAGGAAAATCTTTAGGTATTATAGTTAAAGAAAGAAAGTGCAATGACCACATATATCCAGCAGAGGTCCATAGGGACTCATTCATTTTCAGTTCAGTTTCAAGTCCATTTTTCTTCATGTTTCAACTTCTCACAACTTTATATATATTTTGTGAATATATATTTAAACATTCTAAAATACATAAAAAAAAATCTGTATTTTTGTATTTATTTTTGTTGTTGTCTGATATATTTTGAATTGTTTGCTTTTGCAAATTATTATACATAAATTTGCAGAAATGTTACAAGTCAACCACTAAAAGACATGACTGTAATCACATACTATTTATTTCAGAAAATTATTTATCACAAATAAACACACATACATTTGCAGAAATGTTACAAGTCACCACTAAAAGACGACTGTAATCACATACTATTTATTTCAGAAAAGTATTTATCACAAATAAACACTGCATAATCCTCCTCTTCAGATTTCTGGTAATCCTGTTCAAACTCAGTTTCATCTTCTGTGTCAGTAGTAAAGTCCTCAGGACTATCTGGTTCAGTGTTCTCTGGGCCTTCTTCACTGTCACTTTGATCCAGTATGAAATCCAGGGTCTCCTCAAGACTGTACCTTTTGGCCATGGTGCTGCCACAGAATGAGCTCAGTGCAGGACCCAGACAGCCACTTTTATACCCTAACTGTGAGATGTTTTCAAAATACTGCTGCAGCTCTTTAATCAAAGAGTAAACTTTCTCATCTTTCTTTTCCCTCTCTTTCTGTGTGTGTGTGTGTGTGGTGTGTTATGTCTACCCCTTCACACTGTTGTGCATTTATGTCTGATTTTATTTGCCAAAATCTAAAAAATTAGGTGCCCCAGACACCTGCGCGTGCGTGTGTGTGTGTGCGAGAGTGAACATGCTTGTTCCGTGTTGCCTTTGTGCTCTAGTATTAGTATTTCATTTATGTATGGAAATTTTTCTGATTTATGCCAGCTTTGTTGATTTTATTTTCCAATTTCTATAAAAATGCTCTCTGTTGCAGTCACACACATGTGTGTGTTTGTATGAGATAGAAAGTTCGTTCCACTTTGTGTTTATGGTCTAGGACCAGACCTTTATTTAAATGTAGAAATTTTCTGATTTATACTGGATTTATTTATTTTTTGACAAATGAAATGAAAAAAAAAGATTACATTTTCCCATTCATTTTCAATGTGGGGTCAATCTGACCCCAAGGACCTTTAACGGTGATTTTTTTTTTTTACACACCTTTAGAACAACCAAATCAAGTCCCGATTTTTTTTGTGTGTGTTTAGATAGATAATTTAGGAAAAGTCACAGAATTTCATGCCCCTGAAATGAAGGGAACACTTTTAAAAAATAAAGGAAAATTCAAATGGGGTCAGCTGGACCCCAGGGACTGATTAAGGGTTAATGATAATATTGGATAGTTTTATTTTACTGAGAGGTAATTTTTCAAAACTCATAAATCAAAAACACTGATACAGTTCTGACTGGCACCATTAAAATACAGTATATGGCAAAACAATCCTTATAGAGTGTATTTTTAGATCCATTAAAACATGGAAAAAGGTTACAAATATAATTAAATAGTCTGTAATTAAAAACAGTTAGTTTGTCCCCTGATGTTTCATTAGGTTTTTAGTCTCTTCTTGGTTTTTTTGTCATGAGGTAGTGTGCCGGTGTTCTTGTGGCTGCTGCCAATTGAAGGATGAACGAGGCCATTTTCATCACTGGGTTCCTTGGGACCAAAATATAAAGAACAAAATATCTTAGTTGTTTGATTTCCTTTGGTTCTTGTTGCTTTTACATAACCTGCAAGATTACCTTTCTCTTAGTGTGTCCATTCTCTGAGATTACTGCTTCAGACATTTGGAGGCCCAAAGTCTTTTCTAAGTCTAAGACAAAAGAAGAAAACACAAATTGCCATGAGGAGTGTGATCCCATTAAACTAAGTTTCGAGTTACCAGAAGTACCTGTCAGAATTTGGTCAATCTTCTCCACGACGAGTTCAGCATCCTCTCTGGAGAAGCACATGGGAGGCTTGAACTTCAGAACGTTGCGGTGTGGGCCATCAGCACTGAGCAGTATCCGCTGCTCTTTTAGTCTTAAAAAAAAATATATATATATATATATATATCAAGCGTAGTGATAGTTCTGGCAGGTCACGTTAGTCAAGCTCGCATCAGCTGACTCTCAGCTGATCCCCATCTACCTATAGGAATACGACACCTATCTAAGCATTCATATATAAGGTCCCTCAGTATTATCAGCAGTTTTCGCATTGCTCAATAGCTAATTAATCTCCTCCATCCCCAGCTCCTCCTCTGTCAGTCAGGATGCAGCCTTCTGATTATCCTTTGAATCAGACTAATTCTAAAATGTGTACATAAAATTATTGAACTTTAACGATATCTGCAATGCATTTATGTTGGTTCTGTTCTGTTACCCTGGGGGGGTTATCGCTGCTCTCCCTGCTCTCATCCATGCTAGGCTGCATGGATGCGCAGGGAGTTCTTGCCCAGAACTAGACTTGTGCCGGTATTCGGTAATGCGATGTATCACGGTAATGAATATGCAGGTCCTTTCCATGCAGGTCTTAGTATTATATAGTTCTTTTTTTTAATGTGCTGTATTTTGTGGCTAGGGTAAAAAACATAAGGAAAAAATACGTAACAAATAGTTTGCAAAGATAAAAGTGACTAAATATATTGTATGCTATGCTAATAAACCTGTTAACCTTCGCTATAAAAAAAAATGTCAGAAATTCCTCTTTTATAGCATGACTTGCTCTGACCTGTAAATAACATCCTGAGCTTCAGCTGTGGCAGGTGTCCTCTTATCCCGGTTTCTTACCAGGTCCAACCCAATAAACAGGCCACGGCCCCTAGAAAACAAGATATATGACCTTCAGCTTTGAACCTCCTGGCAATGTGTGTTCTAGGCATACTTTCATCAGCACTATTACACACATATTACTGTCACAAACAACCCCAGGGAAATGATTTACACAACTTGCAACATAAAGAGGCCAGATAACTTCAACTTATGCAAGCATAGGTTCAAGGTTCCACCGTGGCACATTATCACTCACATGGCCTTAATTCACACTGCAAATTTTGTTGATGTATGCACAAAGAAACAATAGCTTTTAGGATCTAACTTTGTATAATCATCCAATTGATTTTATTATTTTAGAAGTTAAGACTGGGTTAACCAACCTCACGTCACCCACTAAAAGGTGTCTTTTCTTCAGATCATACAAAAGCCGAGTCAGGTAACCTCCGATGTGCAGGGCATTGCCTTGGAGATCTTCCTTCTCAATTACATCCAGCACTGCCAGTCCAATAGCACATGATACTGGGTTACCGCCAAACTAGAGGACACAAAGACATTTTTCAACATCGTAAAAATTTCTAATCTAGGGCCCGCATCTGTTGCTCACACCTCTGTTAAAAATGCAGATAGTTTTCTTTTTTAAATAGGTTGTTGTTGTTTCAGTCTTAATCTGTATTTAAAACAATATGTTTTTTTCTTCTCACTGTGTTGAAGTACTCCATTCCAGATGACATGAAGCTTTCGGCAACCTCTCTGGTGGTGATCACACATGACATTGGATGGCCATTTCCAATAGGTTTGCCCATTGTAACAATATCTGGTACAAAATCTTCTCCCTGTATCTGGAAGCCCCAGAAGTGGGTGCCCACCCTGCCAAAGCCCACCTGGACCTCATCAGCAATGAAAATGCCTCCTGCATTTCTCACATGCCTGTGGTACAAAGTTGTGGTATACACAAATTTGAATGTATGCATATTTCAGAAAAAATATTTCACATTATACATGCATTTTAAAGGGGTCATATTATGCAATTTCAATGTTTCCTTTCTCTTTGGAGTGTTACAAGCTCTTGGTGCATAAAGAAGATCTGTAAAGTTTCAAAGACTAAAGTCTCAAATCCAAAGAGATATTCTTTATAAAAGGTCAGAGTCAGCCACACCTACCTAAAACGGCTCGTTCTAACACGCCCCCACATATCTACCTCACTATGTGGGAAGATTTGCATAACGCCGCCCGGTCGCTGAGGGAATACATCAACTTTCACCATGGACAAAGCGGAGTCCAGCCCGTGGTCGTCACATGTGGTTGCCGCTCATATGCCGGGCGTGCCGTTCTCGACCCCGCCGCCTCAGCTCACTCTATCCCGGCCGTGAGGGGCGTAACATTTCCGTCTCACGCTTGAGGTATTCGGCCAATCACAATGCATTGGATAGCTGGCCAATCACAGCACACCTCGCTTTTTCAGACAGATGAGCTTTGTAAAAATTAACGCGTTTCAAAAAGGCGGGGCATAGAGGAGAAACAATAATGTACAGTATGTGGAAAATAATGTGTTTTTTTAACTTTAAACCGCATAAACACATTTCATTACACCAAATACACAAAATAATGTTCTTTTTAGCAGCATCATATGACCCCTTTAAGACATTTCAATAGTTCAACAAATGCACTTGGATCCAAGGTGTTTATAAATGGGCATACAATTATAGATAAAATAATATATTCATATTAGGCAAGCGATTTAAGACTAATGTTTTTGGTGCATTAAAATATATGTATATTTATTTGTCTGTTGCATCTGTCAAATTAAATATTTATTTAGATAAAATGAATGAAATCAATAAATAAGCAAATTTAATATGAATGATCCTTCTGTCAGGTTCTGCCACTAATTCAGGCAGAACCTGAGAGAAGGATCATTCATATTCAATTTGCTTATTTATTTAAAACGTTAAGTAAGCTTAAAAAAACGAATGAAGGAGAGGAGCAGCAATCATGTAAATAAAATGCTTTAACCAAACACTTAGTAGTACATACTGTGCCACTTTCTGGAAGTAGCCCACTGGAGGAATGACCTGCCCTCCGCAACTCTGCAGTGACTCAGCGATAAAAGCGGCAATCTACACAAAAATAGATCCCATGAGTCCCTTGTAGACTAGTGGTTATACATGCGAGGAGGAAGCATCTTTTTTAAAAGCTGCTTTAGATGACTATGACAGCCACTGCCATGAGCAGGAAACAAGAGCTGAAGAAAGCATAGAGTTCACAGAGAACCTCAGGAGGAAAACGAAATACGAAGACATCATATCATTTTGACACAGCTGCCATGGTGTTTGGGCAGTTTATTCATCAATCCTCACAGATTCATGTTAATTCTCATGTGTAAAGACCAATTATTTTTCCTGCAACAGAGGGTTTAGGGGCTCCCTTTGGGCCTCCAGCAGGCAAGAGTAATTCCCGTCTCAGCTCAACCTGGAGAGAAGAGAAACATCAACAGGTGGAGAGAGGAAATGTGGGGAGGGAAAAGGAAATGATACAGTTTAAATAAATTAATGATGGAGAATTTAAGAGATCACACAAGAAACCAGAGAACTGAAAGATCCTATCAATGAATTTAAGGCAAGACACTACATGCTCTGGTCAATTTTGGGATTTTGAGTTATTTGATTTTTTTATAACAAAAAGATTGAAAACATTTATGAAAGCATTCCTACAAACATTATTTAACAATTGACAGTATTTTTCTGATGTATGGATTGATAAAAAAAAAGATATCCAATATTCCGTGTAAAAAAAAAAAGTTGAACCTGGCTTTATCCAGTGTTCAGATTTAGTGCACTTAATTATATACTGCCCAATTTCTGTATTTAAACATGTCAGAAAACTTGTAATACACAAAAACTGTAATACTTGCCTTAAGACCGAATGATGTCAATTATGTGATATTATCACTGAAAACTATGAATTGTAATTTTAAAAAGAAAGGCTTTAATTAATGGACCAAAGTTTAAAAGTACAGTCAGTGAAGAATGCTAATTACTGTGGATGTTAAATAACTTCACTTACCTTACGTCCCTTTTTATGGGCCTGCTCGATTATATCTTTGACATTTTCAGCATAGGCAGTGGCAGGGTCAGGGTGGTCCTCACAGTATTTGCCTCTATAAATGTCTGGACTGAGAGCCTTAAGGAATTATCACATTTATGAATAGTTAATAAAAATTTACAGTGCAGAAATAAATCTTTTCACTATGCTGGCAAATTTAAATACAACTCTTTTATTCTGCAGATTTTTTAATGTAATGAATAATTATTGCTATAATTTAAAAATAATTTTTAAATTGACAATTTATGAATATGTATAGTTTATAAATATAAATGCTGGCTGTTAACAAAAAACTGTTATGGGTATTCTTATCACTATTTGTGGAACGGTATTTCAGTGCCGTAGCAAGGATTACATTCAAGTCACGAGGCCCCTGGATTGTACTGTAGTCCACTTTAAGCATGTAGCATAATGTCAACATTAGAGAAAAGAAAGACCAAGTGTCTTTAAAGACATTTTTCATAAAAAAAATGTTACGTATGCTGATGTGGCTCACTAACTTGTAACACAATACTGACTGATCACCACAGTAAGAGTAGAATGGAGACACACACACACACACACACACACACACACACACACACACACACACACACACACACACAC